CATTGGTTCGAATCCCAACCACAGCATCACCTGCCTGGAGTTTGCATGTTCTCCCTGTGCCTGCGTGGGTTTCCTCCAGGTACTCCGGTTTCCTCCCACACTCCAAAGACATGCTGGTAGGTTAATTGGCTCCTGTCTAAATTGGCCCTAGTATGTGTATGTATGAATGTGAGTTAGGGATGTTAGATTGTACGCCCATTGAGGGTTAGGGATTGATGTGAATGTAATATAAATGTAAAGCACTGCGTAAAATTGACGGCGCTATATAAGTACCTGAAATAAATAAATAATAAGCAAATAAGCAACTGTGTGACACTATACCAAAAAAAAAAAAAAATCACCCATTTACACTCCTCCAGTGGGAATGGGGGCTGAGAGAGTTTCGGGACTTCTCTCTACACACAGCTGACCTCTTTGTCAAGTAAGCCTGTACACTGTCTGAGAGCACTTCAATAACACGCTGGCAGGTTATTCAGCTCCGGTCTAGTTTGGGCCCAGTATGTGTATGCATGAGTCAGGGAGCCAATGTTGGCCAAACACCATTCGTCTTTTTTGTCCAGCCAGTAAAAAATCATCAACTTCCTCCATTCTCCTTATACAGCATGAATAGACGAATCCTCCTGCTGAGCTACTGCATTGTGACAGCCGGGAATGACAGCTGTCAGAATACCTGACCAGAGGCTACATATGATTGGATGCAGCTTCTGCTCAGCAGACAAGTTTTCACCTGGCCCCTTTGATTTTTCCAATCAGAGGATGTCATGCAGGAGGGTGGTCCACAGGGCCACCCACTAAGTGAGTTTTGGCTGGTTCATCCCGAAATTTAAACAGCATATGACCAGCTTTAAGTTCCTTAAGGGCAGAACACACAAATGTAGAGAATGTAAAGTGCTGAGTAAATGGTCTGCATTGTATACATACCTGTAATAAATCATCACTGAACAGGCAGCACAGAGAACAAAACATCACACCTTCCTCTGGGGCCCCTGACAATCAGCTGTCTCGGAGCAGACCAGGGAACTCGCTACTTGTCTATCCTACAATAGGATTTGCTTGGCTACTATACAAAAAACACAGATACTGATTTCAATGAGTTTCAAAATCCAGGGATCAATTGCTTTAAAAAACAAACAAACAAACAAACAAAAACAGTAGTCCTGCAGCAGGATTTAAAGAGGATCTACCATACTTCTCTGCCCAGTAATACCAGTGCAATCTGCCAATTGAAATCGCATCTAATGAATGTGAAGGTCAGTGTCTTGACGTGCGATTTTCTGCACAGCAATTTTGAAAGTCATTCTTGCAGTTTATTGTGATTTCGCATACAGAAAATATAACGGAAATTGCAAAACAAATCACAAGAAATTGTTGAAAGTCTTCACAAGTTGCAATAAAGTTTTCAGAAATCACACACAAATTGCAGCGGTGTGACTGTTGGCTAAATCTGCCCATACACTGTGCAATCTCTACCATCAACTATGTAGTACCAAGGCCTGCCAACTTGAATGGATTGCTTTGGCTTGTCCTCCAATCACACACTTTTGGTAAATCTAAACCAAGCCATAGATGATGCAACTTTCTCTAGGCTGCAGGAAAGAAAACTGCTTGATACCCCATCAACACAGTCAGTGCTGATGGGGGAATCCCTCTGCAGAGCTACTGCGCTCTGCTCATGGGGAGCCTTCCCTGCCGGCAGAACACAATGATGACTGCTAGCTGCTATAGCCGCTGGGAGCGATTGTATGAAACAAAAAAAAAATCTGACAGGCTGGTTGTACTGAAGTCAATTGATGGATCATCTTCAGTCCATAGATGGATCAAATCCCAGCAGGTCCCTACTGAACCAGCCAAGATTCCATCCATCTAAGGCTCACCATACATGTTACAATGTGACCATTCAATCTCTGTACAAGCAACCTTAGATCTACCAAAACTATGTAATAGGAGGACCTGCCCCATCCATCCAATTCATTAGTATCTGATCAGGCAGGCCCTTGTACTACATCATTGTTGGTAGATCAAATGTGAGGTGAGCTTAATAAGAGATTGTCCAATCAGATTGTAAGGTGTGAGATGAGCTTAAAAAGAGATTGTCCAATCAGATTGTAAGGTGTGAGATGAGCTTAAAAAGAGATTGTCCAATCAGATTGTAAGGTTGAGATGAGCTTAAAAAGAGATTGTCCAATCAGATTGTAAGGTGTGAGATGAGCTTAAAAAGAGATTGTCCAATCAGATTGTAACGTATGTGAGCGTAAAGGAGATTGTCCAATCAGATTGTAACATGTGAGATGAGCTTAAAAAGAGATTATCCAGATTGTAACGTGTGAGGTGAGCGTAAAGGAAAGTGTCCAATCAGATTGTAACGTGTGAGGTGAGCCTAAAAAGAGATTGTCCAAACAGATTGTTATCAGATTGTAACAGTGTGAGATGAGCCTAAAAAGAGATTGTCCAAACAGATTGTAACGTGTCCAGATTCTAAGTGAGATGAGCCTAAAAAAGATTGTCCAATCAGATTGTAGCTTAAAAAGAAATTGTCCAATCAGATTGTAACGTGTGAAGTGAGCTAAAAAAGAGATTGTCCAATCAGATTGTAACGTGTGAGATGAGCTTAAAAAGAGATTGTCCAATCAGATTGTAACGTGTGAGATGAGCTTAAAAAGAGATTGTCCAATCAGATTGTAACGTGTGAGATGAGCTTAAAAAGAGATTGATTCAGATTGTAACGTGTGAGATGATGCTTAAAAAGAGATTGTCCAATCAGATTGTAACGTGTGAGGTGAGCTTAAAAAGAGATTGTCCAATCAGATTGTAACGTGTGAGATGAGCTTTGATTGTAACGTGGAGGTGAGCTTGGAGGCAGATGAGATTGCTTTGTGTATGGCCAGCCATCAGACACAATAGAAGTGGAGAAGCCCTGTAGGTACAGCACGTCCACCTATGTGGTGTGAGTGGCTGACAGATCTCTCCCATATGTTCCCTGCTGATTGGAGCACACAGCCTCCGCACTACACCGATCTCCAGCACCATGTCATAGAGGAACACCCCAGAGAGGAGCAATCAGGGACCCCCCATGGGAAAGCCAGGAACAAACAGGAAAGCTCTCCGGAGAGGCAGACATGCCCCGCGATGCGTGCACAGCATCCATCCCCTGAAGTAAGTTGTCCCCGCAGGATGACAGCCCCGATCGGGGGGGTACTGATCTCTCACCTCTGTGTCCGGCATGCTCCTGTCACCCCGGGTCACCACAGCTCCATCGCCTCCTCTACTCTCTCCACAGCCTCACTGCTCCGTCCTGGCAGCTTTCAGAGGAGGGGCGGAGTGTGGGGCCGGCCCTGGGGGCGGGGTTTGTCCGGGGAGGAGGGAGGAGACTCTTGGTCCTTATTAACTCGTGCAGAGCAGATCCAAATCTGCCGTCTGTGCCAGGAATCCCGCAGGATCGGGGTCAGCTCGGTGCACGTCACAGGGGGGCTGAGAACTGGGCACTCCTAGGGCCAATCACAAGGCTGCATTCACACGAGGGTTGTCTACCTCGAAGCTCCAAAAACACTCAAACTTAAAGCCCCAATTGTTCCCTATGGTGCCTGTTCACACCTGACCACTCAAACGGGCTCCAATTCATTTATTTATGTTTTTGGAGCTTCAAGTTACACAACCCTCAAGTGTGAATGCAGCCTAAGTTGTCAGCGAAGCTTTCCTGCGGGATCACAAAAACATGTTCATTATTTTGGAAACTTCACCTCGTGTCAATCATTCCTGGTGTCCCATCATCAGTGTCTTTGTAATGGTACTTCCTGTCTCCTGCGTTGTCACCCTGTAACCCCCCCCCCCCCCCCCCCCCAAAAAAAAACCCGTTTGCTTCAGCTCTGAATGAACACAGCAAGTGATCAGCACTGATCACTCATTGTGTTCATTCATGAAAGGAAGGGGCTGGTATATGTGACATATTTCCGGGACCCTTCCCCCATTCTCCATCCTGAAGGATTGTGTGCTCTCTCTGCAGCAGCTGAAAGCCAGCAGGAGGGAGAGAAGAAACCAGCCATATAGGGGATTGGTACCAGTAATTGCCCCCCCTCCGCCATGCCGGTCACCCTCCCTGCCCACATCTGATTCACCCAGCTGCCTGGGCCTCGTACAGGAGGACTTATCTACGGCGCTGGTTGTCGCCATCAGGAATCCCTTTTTGAGAAATGCTATGTATCCATCCCTGAACAACATGTATGTTGACAGAAAGTGGGTGTAAAGAGACTGCAGGAGATCAGCAGCACTGAAATGCACCTGATTGTCCATGCACACTAGCGTTTTTTTTTTTTAAGCTAAAAAAATTGCTGAATAAAAAACACTGGTAATAGCGTTTTTAGTAACGTTCAGAAGCGTTTAGGAGCGTTAGCATGTTTACAGTACATGTAGGAAAAAGAAAGATAGAAAAAAAGCTGTTAGGAGCATTTTAGTAGCGTTTGGCAGCATTTAGCATTTTTTTCTGCTGGAACAATGCTCCAAAAAAATTCTACAATTTTTTTTTTTTAACTGCTCCAAGAAGCTGGAGCTCAAAAATTGCTAATAGTCTAAAGTAGTGTGCATGGACACAAAGGAGAACACTACTTAGCTTCTAGGAGCAGAAAGACAAATGCTGATAGCTTCTAGGAGCTTAAAAAACACTAGTGTGCATGGAGCCTACAGTGACATTAAGCCCGGCTTTACACTGTGCGGTGCAGGACACTGCATTCCTGTGCCAATTACATGCAAATGTCTGTGCCGTGCGATTTGAGTCATATATTTTGTATGGATCAAATTGCATCGCATCTGTACCAAAAAGGTGCAGGACCCTTTTTTAAATCCGCACCTGAATCGATGAGTGTTCTCACCCATGCGATGCCATTTCTGGCAATCACATCATGTTTTACAATCTGTTTCAGGGTGTCATTAACCACCTCCCACCCGCCATATAGTCCAATCACGGGCGCAAGGCGGTTTTCTTGTTCTGGGAGGACGTCATATGATGTCCTCCCATTCTCACCGCGCATGCGCGGCTCAGAGAGCGCACAGCACAGCGATCGGCGGTGCGCTGTGTCCCCTCGGACACAGCGGATCACCGATCACGGAAAGAGCAGAAGATGTCGGCTCGGTCATGTGATCAGCTGTGTCCAATCACAGCTGATCACATGTAAACAGGGAAATGCCGATTATCGGCACTTCTCTCCTCTCGAGCTGTCACACTGACAGAGGAGAGGAGAGTCGGTAATCAGCTTTCCGTGGAGGGGACCTGTACACAGATCATTAGAGCACTGATGATCAATGTGCCCTGATGATCAGTGTAGCCCCAGCAGTGCCACCTGTCAGTGTCCATCATTGCCTTGTGTCAGTGCTCATCAGTGCCACATCAATGCCACATATCAGTGCCCATCTGAACTGCCTTTCAGTGTCACCCATCAGTGCCACCTATCAGTGCTGCCAATCAGTGCCACCTATCAGTGCCAGTCAGTGCTGCCTATCAGTGCCAGTCAGTGCCACCTATCAGTGCGCATCAGTGCCGCCTGTCAGTGCCACCTATCAGTGCCAGTCAGTGCCGCCTAACAGTACCAGTCAGTGCCACCTATCAGTGCTACCTATCAGTGCCATGTATCAGTGCTGCCTTTCAGTGCCCATCAGTGATGCCTGTCAATGCCCATCAGTGCCACCTACCAGTGCCTCCTTATCAGTGCACATCAGTGCCACCTATCAGTGTCCATCAGTACAGCCTATCAGTGCCCATCACTACAGCCTCATTAGCGCATATCAGTGAAGGAGAAAAATCACTTATTTACAAAATTTTATAACAAAAACTAAGAAAAAACTTTTTTTTTTTCAAAATTTTCAGTGGTTTTTGGTTTGTTTAAGAAAAAATAAAAACCCAGAGGTGATTAAATACCACCAAAAGAAAGCTCTATCTGTCACAAAAAATGGGAAAAATGTCATATGGGTACAATGTTGTATGACTGCGCAATTGTCATTCAAAGTGTGACAGCGCTGAAAGCTGGAAATTGGCCTGGGCAGGAAGGGGGTATAAGTGCCCTGTAGGCTAGCGGTTAATTTATCATTAACACCCACACCAGATCCCGTGAACGCGATTGCAATGCAGTGCGGGAAACGCGTTATGATGTTCTTTGGATGCAACTCAGCATTCTCTCTCCTCCAAACATGACGAGTTGTGTTTCTACCAAACAGTTCTATTTTGGTTTCATCTGACCATATGACATTCTCCCAATCCTCTTCTGGATCATCCAAATGCTCTCTAGCAAACTTCAGACGGGCCCGGACATGTACTGGCTTAAGCAGGGGGACACGTCTGGCACTGCAGGATCTGAGTCCTTGGCGGCGTAGTGTGTTACTGATGGTAGCCTTTGTTACATTGGTCCCAGCTCTCTGCAGGTCATTCACTAGGTCCCCCCATGTGGTCCTGGGATTTTTGCTCACCGTTCTTGTGATCATTTTGACCCCACGGGGTGAGATCTTGCGTGGAGCCCCAGATCGAGGGAGATTATCAGTGGTCTTGTATGTCTTCCATTTTCTAATTATTGCTCCCACAGTTGATTTGTTCACACCAAGCTGCTTGCCTATTGCAGATTCAGTCTTCCCAGCCTGGTGCAGGTCTACAATTTTGTTTCTGGTGTCCTTCGACAGCTCTTTGGTCTTCACCATAGTGGAGTTTGGAGTGTGACTGTTGGAGGTTGTGGACAGGTGTCTTTTATACTGATAACAAGTTCAAACAGGTGCCATTGATACAGGTAATGAGTGCAGGACAGAGGAGCCTCTTAAAGAAGAAGGTACAGGTCTGTGAGAGCCAGAAATCTTGCTTGTTTGTAGGTGACCAAATACTTATTTTCCACCATAATTTGCAAATAAATTCTTTCCAAATCAGCCAATGTGATTGTCTGGATTTTTTTTCTCATTTTGTTTCTCATAGTTGAGGTCTACCTATGATGCCAATTACAGGCCTCTCTCATCTTTTTAAGTGGGAGAACTTTCAATTGGTGGCTGACTAAATACTTTTTTGCCCCACTGTAAGTACCTGAAGTAAATGTAAACTGAGTCATTATTTCTTTGAAAAAATGTGACTGAACTGATGAAAAAATGGAATGCCCGTGTGAAAGGACACTTACATACACTTTTAAGGGTAATTAAACCTTGCTTGAAGGGGGTGAACCCTGGTCGTAATGTACGCAGCATTTTTGCACATTATTTCACGTTGTCCTTCAACAATGACAGGTCTAAGGTCCTGCTGCTGCTGCATCCCCTGCCGCCACCACCACCTCAAAAGCCATTTTCTCTGGACCCCACATTTCTCCTCTTTGGCTATTGGACAGCCACTAACAATGTCCCTGTTACACATATGTACAGGATGTGTCTTGTTTTTCTCACAGAAAGTGGTATGTAGTCCACATGCAGTGGTGAAGAAACCATTTCAAGCAGTGCGCTGCTTTATCCATCCTGGTAAAAAATGGGGCATATTTTTATTCAAGAGCCCTAGGAAACAGCTGGTAATAATCACAGATGAATGGGCCCCAACCACTTGTGCCGGCATAGGAATGTGTTGCATCATTTACATGACATTTATGTTTTGTCTCATATAGGCCTAGAGGCATGCCTTCTTTTTGACGCATACTGTGCTTGCTGCATTGCATACATGTGATATTTATATCTATGGTATAATTTTTTGAAATTCCCTGTATGGGATATAACCATTTTGGTAGTAGCTTAGTCTACACATTTATTACACGTGTTATGGTATACCTATGGTATAATTTTTGTATACACCTCCTTTGGGAAGTGTCCACCTGTGCGCCTGTGCTACAGGGACTTTAGACTCTTGTAGTCATTGTCCTTGTTGCACATGCATTTAGACCGGTACTGGTGTCATTTTATATGGTTTTAGGTCTGTGTGTATTGTCTCATACTGAGGTGATGGTAAACCAGGGCGATTGCCCATATGTCAAATTTGTATGTGTAATAAAGTATAATTTTTGGAAATTTTTCTGATATCACATTCTGTTCTTAATGTAGCCGCTTTCTTTGTGAATTTCTTTTCACAACCCCTCTTTTTTGCAGGGTTATAACCCCTGTCAGGTTTTTTTCCTGCCATTTGTGTCCCATTAGCCAAAACAGGAAGTAAGAGGAAATCCTTTCAAGCTGAAGAAATCTCTGGTAGTAACTGCGGTCATCACAACCAGTGTCCCCAATGGAATATTTAGGGTTCATGTACACATGAAGTTTAGGAGCAGTTGTGCAATTTTTTCAGCAGCCCCTGAACTCTTCTTTATGTTTTCTTATGTGTCCATGTACACATCGTCGTTTACAGTAGTTTACAGGCAGTTGAGGTTACAGGCATTTTTTAAAGCACAAAAATCGCATTCAGGAGTAAAGTTTACCAGCGTTTCAAATGCCAAATGCTTGTAACTGCGTGTAAACGCTTGGAAATGTGTGTAAACGTGTTTAGACGCATTTTTGGGATGGTCCATATCCAGATGCTGTCCAGAGCCTTTTTTCTTCATCAAAAATGCATGCACAGCGTTTTCCATGTATTCAAATGGACTTAGTACGTCACCAGCGCAGTCAGTTCCAGGTTTTGCGTGAAGGAATAAATGGTAGAACGTGCTGCATTATGCTCATGATGGGATTCATAGTGAATACAACCAGAAAAGACAGATCATCTCAACACATACTGCTCTCTCTGCTTCTGCTCTATTTCTCACAAAATGTCTGAAATATTTAATTATTTACTATTTTTTTAGTGCATTCTGGGCATTTGGGAGGATCTTCTGAGGTTATCTTTTAAAAACGCTTCTAAACGCAAATGCGGATAAACGCGGTAGGTAAATGCGGCTACACTGTTGTTTTTATTCTACGTTTTCTAGCAGTCAGTTTCCAGTGGGCAGAAAAGTTTTTCAAATGTCCTGTGTACATGAGCCCTTACCAGGGGCGGACTGACCATTTGGAAACTCAGGCACTGCCTTTTTTTTAGCATGTATTGCTTTTATTTTCACCTGGTGATCCTGCTAGTAACACACTCCCTGAACTAGGGTGTCTCCACGCCACTGGTGGTGTTAGATGCAACCTTTTGGATAAAGGCTTTATGTAAATGAAAATAACCTGATCATTGTAGGCAGCCCCAGGGACGGACCATTTGGAAACTCGGGCGCCGCCCGAGGGCCCGGGGTCAGTGGGGGGCCACATGAGATGCCCCTGGTACCTTTTTCATAGGCTTTTTTGAGTTTGGGCAAGGACACAGGGGCCCCATGATCCCCTATTGCCCGGGGGCCCCATGAGTTGTCAGTCAGCCCCTGGCCCTTTCTCTCTATTCCTGTTCTGGTTATAGATCGAAGTTTGGAATTCTCTTTCACTTTCACTATCAGTGATAAAAGTCACCAGCCTAAATAGAGAGGTTGAATCTCCCTTTCAGGGACTTAAACATCAATAAAGACTTCACAGGGGTTCTATTCCCTCCCCACCCTATCCAAAATGTAAAAAAAATGCCTTTAACTATACCTTAAAGTATATGTAACACCCAGTGCTTAGAATCTTTGTCAATTTTTTCTTTTTTTTTTTTTATTAAGCTTTGTATGGCGTTAATTCACTAACATTTAAATAACGACTGAAACAATGCAGTAAAATAACACATGCACTAAATATTTTGCAAATGTGCAATTCACTAAGTGTTTTGCGGTAAATAACTCACGCGGTAAAATATTGGTATTGCGGTAATTGCAGCATATTTTCATACGGTAATGTATTGAACGGTAGCTTTTCGTTAAGGAAGCCGACCTCCGCGTCCTTAACAATGGATAACTCATCAGCTATCAGGCAGGTGTCTCACTAAACAAAACATTCCGGCATTTAAAAATGATGAAAAAAAAACAGCTTGGGGTTCTGGTATGGATTTTAAGGAATACCCCACAACAAAATATATATTTTTTTAAATGGTGTGGGGGTCCCCTCAAAATCCTAAGGGATTTCAGGTCTGGTTAGGATTTGGGGGGACCCAACACTGTTTTTTTTAAATTTTGGTGTGGAGTTCCCCTTAACCACTTCACAACCGCTCTATAGCTGAATGACGGCTACAGCGCGGTTGTCCAGTTCTGGGAGGGTGTCATATGACGTCCTGCCAAAACGCACCCTCCCACACACCCCCAGCAGCATGCAGCTGCTGCTCTCCATGATCGATGTGTCCTACGGACACAGTTGATCACATAATGACGTAAAATGCCAATCACAGCGGCCTTTTACCACGTGATCAGCTGTGTACATTTAAAAAAGGAATTTGGAGATCTGGAGCAGGCTGAAATCAATAGAAATTACTTTTTACATAAAGAAACTATTTTAAAGTGTAACAAAAGGCAACATTTTTTTCATTTTGCATCAAGTGAGGGAGGGTTATAAGCCTTGTCAGTTTTTTGGGGTTTTTTTTTGCCATCTGTGTCTCATTTAGTAGATTTCCCTTCACTTCCTGTCCCATAGCCAAAACAGGAAGTACGAGGAAATCCCTCAAAGTGAGGGAATCCTGGAGTGTCACTAGAACTAGTGTCCCCATAGGAAGATTTCCCCTCTAATACTGTTTGGATATCAACCCAAAATTTTGAGTGTTTTTTTACCTTCACTTTCGATGGTAAACAGGACAAATAGCGAGGGAGTGCTCGCAGGATGAGAAATTAAAAATGGTGGGGGTTCTAATCCCTCTGCACTCTATACAAAGCTTTAAAAAAAGTTTTGCTTTAGTTACAATTTAAATGAGAAGCTTGGGAATAAAAAAAAAAACAATCATACTTACCTAAGCAGATGCAGCACCGATCACAGCTGCAAAGACCATTGATCGCTCAGTTCTCGGTATTCAGTCCACAGATAGACAGTGACTG